TTAATGCGTGTTAAAAGTGGCATATTCCCCACATGTAGGGGTAAAATGCCACTTACTTAAAAAAGAACTTAATTTCATGTAAATATCACAAATAACTCGTAATTTAATACTTTTACAGTATAACAAATATAATTTCGATTAACTATATTAATAATTATAATAAATAGCTTCAAAAAAAACGAGATAACAATAATAAATTTGACAAATTTTATGATTTACATACAGGACAAGTTTCACTTTCACAACAAGTTTCGTGCATCCAATTTTCACATTATCACATTGCATCCAATCGCATTTCGGTCCTTTCTTACTATAAAAACTTATGTGGCACACAGGACAAAGGTCTTCAAAAGTTTCTTCTTCACCAGAAGAATCATTGGAAATGTTCATTGGTTCATCAGAATTTTCATCATCGGATACAACTTTTTTCTTGGATGTTTTTGAACCTTTTGTCACCTTCTTACGCAAATTGTTTCTCTTTGTAACTTTTTTCTCTTTTTCTGCTTTTTTCTTTTTCATATTAACAATATTATTTGAATTTGTCAAAATTTTTGCATGTTGCTTTCTAGCAGTCACTTTAGGTTTTGGCAAAATTGGGAACGGTCTAATTTCTTCGAAACTTGTGATCAAATTTTGAGCAGCTTGATTATCACTTACTAAATTGTCATTATCTCCATCATCAATCTCCATCGCATTATTTTCATTATTCTTTTCAGCTGCCTCGGCTAAATCAGATACAGCAAATGCACGATCAGGTATAGCTTGAGGATTGAATGGAACAATTCCACAAGCTCTGAATCCACTAACGCCATTGCTCGCAGCATATCCAGCACTCTCTAATTTTTTAATGTATTGCAATAAAACGTCTTCATGTTGGTCCAAAAAACTTCGGTTCTCAATTTTTTTTTTAGCAGAAGGATTCAAATAATAACGTTTTAAAGTACGATATAAGATACCGAATGCCTTTGATGCTTGCCACACTGTTATTTTTTCTTCAGCCAATAGATCTAAAGTTTTTTTCAAAGTATCTTTTGTCCAGCTTCTTCGGTCAGTTTTTTTTACGTATTTTCGAACCATAATTACCTTCAAAATAAAAGAATAGTACCACTCAATATTACCTTCTTTTCTTTTTTGTAATAAATTCATGCATAGTAGTGTATTGGTCGATCGTATGTAAACACGTGAGTCATAAGTTGTATTAAATTTAATCCTACGCGTAAACAAACATATACATCTCTATATCATAAACAAAACTCGTACTTATATAGCGTTGAATTTATTATAAAATTATTTTTTAGATTTCGGGGCAAAATGCCACTGGCATATTACCCCAACTCATTTTGTGGCATTTTGCCCCGAATGCACAAAAAAATGTTAAAGTAAAAAAAAAAGAAGAAAAAATCGTACTTATTATGTTTTAAAATCTGTGCCGTTATGAAATATTATTAATTCTACACAATAAATAAAAACTCGTTTTAAGAAACACGTATAAATATGATAGAAAATAAACATTAAAGTTACAGAAAATTTTAGATTCTCACTAAGTTAATCCAACTGTGTCTAGAAAGCAACTGAAAACTACGTCGGTATACTGTAGTATTCACGCAGTATGGTCAGCTGTACATAATAAACACCTCAATCTTGCTCCTATCGATATCTACTTATAATTATAGGAGATATAGCAAAGTGGCATATTCCCCCGACACACCTTATATGTGTACATATAATAGGTCTATTAAAGATTTCTGTCCGTTTAGCATACAATTACTTTTAAAATTAAAAAAAAAAAAGTAGTTTTATGAACAATGAGAATAGAACTTTTTGATAAACTTAATATATGTGTCCTAATTTTAATGAATTATATACCAGAGCTAAATGAAAATATGTCTTTCTAAAAATTTATACGTAATTAATTATTTATCAAATTTAACTATTTATGACCACTTGAAAGGTTTAGGTTTAACCTCGAAGCAAAAATTATCTTCATTTTTACAAAAGAAAAACGAAACGACTTTCCGAACCACCTAATAGTAACGAAAATGAGATTTCATTTAGGCGTTGATCGCAAAACGAGACGAATAGTAGGACAGGCTACGTCCAAAATGGATGCTCGGATGATCGGTCAACGCGTCGACCACGGTTATTAATCATCGCTCGTTGAACAGACTCGACGCGCATCACCGCGCGCGAATAAACATCAAGGCACGAGCGTGTACGCCCGCTTTCGTGAACGTGCCACGTATATAAACAATGAGAGATCGAGCGGACATGAATTAGCAACGGCACTAGGGACGAGCCGTTGAAGCTAAACCAACCACCGTTTGCTCCTTCATAGCAAAACTGAGGAAAAGCTGTGCGCTTCTGCTTCTCTCTTCCGCCATTGCAGCCATTCTACCGTCCGTTCGACGAAAGCCACCGTATAATGTCGCTCATGAATAATGTCCTGTCGGCTTCTATCCTACTAATGAAGATTAGTCGAATTCCGTTCAAGATATTCCCAATAATCCTCTGTAACGGTAAATGTGCAAGCTTTGTTTCGACATTCATTTTACCAAAAATCATTCCTTTTATTACTTTTTATCATTAAATTGATCATTCAAAATAATTAATTCGTTCAAAAATTTATCCCGTTCTATATTGTATGTATTGAATAAATAACGGAATAATATTTTGATAATATTTTATTACATGGGAAAGGGTATCTCAACTTTTTAAAATAAAATTATAAATTTAACCCTTTCAAAAAAAAAATAATAGAAATTTCTCTTTTCTGTAAAAAGAACATTTATCCAATCGTAAGAATTTAAGATTGATATTACGATTGGAATAATCCACAAGTAATACGGTGAACGATCGAACCAGCTCATTTCTATCCGATGAAATTTCATCTCGCTTTTCGGTTACCCTCATCCAAGTGTGAATTGACTTTCAGACATGGTAAATCTCTCACACCCTTGAGTTTTAGTAATACCCAAGAGATAAGACCTAATTTGTGCTTTCTAGACCAAGGATGTACTCGTAACTCCTTCTCGTGATTCTTTCAACGAGAAGGCTCTTGCTGTTTCACTGCATCGAGAAATGAAAGGAAGAGAGAGAGAGAGAGAGAGAGAGAGAGAGAGAGAGATAGAGATAGAAAGAGAGGGAGAGGGAAAGAGAAACAAAGAGAATAAGGGTGGCATAAATGCAGTGATATATCACGTCTTGAGAATTTACACGTAAAGTTATTCCACTGTGTGTCCTTGTATGTACTTAACGTTCGATCATGATCAACCAAGCGTGAATTTAACATCGGCCATGACTACTACTAGACTACTACTAGACTACTACTCCTTAATGGTTATACGCGTGTTTACATTAACGTTATCGGCACCCTCGAAGAATGTAACAGGGGAGAGAAGAAGCCCAAACATCCCTCCTGCTGCTTCTCTTATTCACCCTCAGTTTCTCTTACCTCTTCAGCCCTTCGTTGTAACACTATCTTTGGGATAATTTTGTGATATACTCTAAGAAAGATGTTTACTACGAGTAAGAAATATTTCTTAACCCGCGCATCATTAAATTTTTTCCTAGTTGAATAGTTGGATAATAATTTATCATGTCATATATGTAGAATTCGTGAAAAAATTGAATTGCTAGACTAAATGGACCAAAAATCGAGCACGAGGTTTTTTGTTTCTGGACGACTAACCAGTGAACTATCGGTAACTTTCTTACGAATGCCTATTAGGTTTTCGATCCTACATACAGACATATATATATATAAATACACTACACAAACAACATTAACGATTTTCATTTGTAAGGCAATTTGTATGTAGTAAAACATTATCATGATTTGCAAAGATTCTAAGCCGGTCATCTAACTAATATCTTTCATCACCTAATGGACTCAAAAGTCCATTTCATCGTTCCATGACAGGACAGGTATTTCAAATCGACCTTTAGAGAAAGAGCTCATGAGAAAAACAACGTTTCTAGGTCCTCAGAGGTTGAACACAGTAACACAGGATAAAGGACACGCAATCGTTAAGACGACGAGCACCAACGGCGTCATCGTCATAAACAATATCGTCTTTCTCACTAGCTGGCAACGCAACAACAACGACAAAGCTCTGGAAAGTCAGTAACGTTAAGTCTTTCTGCTGTGGTGTCGCACGCCAAGAGCTCGTATACGAGCACGAAATCGAAGGAAGGTGAAGCACGCTTGCACGCGATCCTCTGATCCGTCTTACAAGAGGCGTTACCGTTATCTCCGCTGGTTAATCTCAAACGAACGACTAATAGGTTCACCGTGTGAACGTGTCTTCTCTGAAACGGAACCAACTGAAAAGGCTTTCGCGGCACGCTTTACTTAAACTGAAAAGAAAATAATTGAAGAAGTCCAAGTTTTTCTTTTTTTATGTAGCTATTCCAAGACCGTGTCCTTTCTCTCTCCTCAATTTGGGAAAGTTAATGATGACGTTTGGGAAAGTATAAAAATTTAAGTATATGTGGAGGTATGAGAAAGAAGGGAAAGAAAGACCCGAAAGATCTCGTCACCGTGAGGCTTTATTAAAATTTTCTCTTAAAGATCGCCACTATCGTCTTTTTCCTTAGTTCGAGAGACGAGCTCGTTCAAGCTCGCAGAATTCTTCTCTTTGGCCGACGTGACAAGGAGAAAATTATCACCCAGTCACGTCAAGTGGGTCACGAAAGTTCTGAGAATGCGATAGAAGAGAGCGAGAACGTGAGGAAACTGTGGTTCTTTTTAAAATGAGAGGAAGAGAGATAGAGAAATTCAACGAATATAAAGCTGAGGGTTGAAATGGTTGAAGACGGTTAGAGAATTCCTTCTAGAAAACGAGAGCATTCGTGGACTTTAGATACGGATGAGCAAGATGGGGAGAAAGCAAAGATTATGAAAGGTCTCAGAATTAAAAAAAGGAAAAAAAAATAAAGAAAGAAAGTAAAAAAGAAAAGAAAGAAAGAGAAAGAGACAAAAAAGTGAAACGATGACTTACGATTAATGTCGAGAACGAGGACCCTGATCTGTGGAGTCACCTTGTTGGTGTTGCTGGCCTGACAGGATAGCCTTGCGTTGAGATGTTGTCGGCCGACTCTCGGATACGACAAGTGGTTAACCGTAAGCGCAAACTCGCGGTTATAGGTATAGGACTCGTCTATCACATTGTTGTCGAGGTACCACGTCAGCTTTGGAGGTGGCTTGCCGCCTCTAACCTGGCAGATTAGTTGCACATCGCTACCCTCGTTGTAGGATTCCGTGACCCTCGACTTATTCTTCAAAGTGCTGTCCAGAATCTCGGGCTTCGAAGGAGGCACTATAACGTACAAACGAAAAGCTCGTTCCACCTATTAGTATTCAGATTATCTTCTACTATAGTGGAAATCGTATAAGTTAGAAAAGCTATGGATTAAGGAATATCTTGTTTCATAATAGTATCGATATAGAAGCTAACCCAATAATACCTGGCATGTAACTCTGCCGAAAGAGCTGCATTCTTTAGACGCCGACAAAAAAAGCTTCTACCTTTTGCAATAATTATCGATAAGAGTATTAAATCGCAATTAAATGCAGTAGAAAAGTTAATTTTTGTTTTCATTTCGGAGAAAATCGTAAGGTTTTTTTAACATCTTGTATATGAAAATTCCGTATTTTTTAATTTCATTTAACTATTATGAATCTAATTTAACAAATAATTAGTTTCATTTAAACGAATTTAGAACGTAATAGATGAATATAATATATTGTAGTTTTAAGGTCTATATTTATGTCTTATGTCCTCTTCCTTTTCATCTTTAATTTCGTAATAAAATTTTTTATGACACTCTGACCTACGAGAAAGATTCGAGTTTTTAACCTATGCGACATTATTTATGATCTCGTGTTTTTTCTCTCTCACTTTCTCCCTTTTCTCTCTTTTTCTGCCGACGAAAGCTTAAGATCTCGCATTATCTCGTATAAAGTTCAAAAGAATTTATTAACGGGTGGGTCGAGGTAGAGGTGCTTTAAAATTAAAATTCATAGAAAATGCTTTTGTTGTAAAAAGAGCACGAGGAATTTATCGAGGAGGTAAAAAGATACCGAAAAAATGGTTACACGACTAATGGCAATTCTATACGTCTAACATGAATATTAAACTCGTATAAAGTGAAAGGAAAAGTATAAAGATCAAAACTTATATTCAGTCATATTTAAACAGATTTAGATAATTATTCAAACGAATCACAATATGCTAACAAAATAAATGAATAATAGTGACGTCTGATATAATATGATTGATGTTACACTAACACGTCATTATAAAAAACCTTAACACGATAAATGTACTAAAGTATATAAAATATATATTTGTCAAGCGTGTATGTACGTATCTGCAAATCAATTGGATAAAATCATTAATTTTATTTTCAGTAAAAGATAAAAAACTTACCAATTACGGTAAAATTCATCTTTTGATTACGAGTTGGTGAATTCTTAAAATCCACCATACATCGATAGATTCCTTCGTCCTTCATCTCGACCCGATCGATACAGAGACATGCCGGAGTCGTAGCCGTGATAAAAAAAGCTCTTGGTCCCAGTGCTGTTGGCGACGACCAAAGCCGAGCATTGCTGAATTGTCGGCGACCGCGTATGTCAAAGCTGCAAGGTATCATAATATTCACCGTTATTCATAAGAACGGAGATATTCTCGAAAAAAGATCATCTTTATTGGTTCGATACACGCTTCCTTTATTGCATTTATGCTTTCAACCTACGAATTACCTGAGAATATCCGCTTCAAGATCCTTGACATTAAAGAACGTTAAGGAATGTGATTTTACGGATCATCATGGACGTTCATTCAACCCGATTAAAAGACGTTCGGCCGACGAAAGAATGCATGAAGAACGCACGGATAATCATGATATCTAATGCGTCTTATGGCGTATCGAATCGCCATATAATTCTAACATAATTGGTACACGACGTGGTTACACGAGTAACTACTTTTTGATGCCTGCAATCCGGTTTTTAATAGAACTAACGATTGAACAAGTATTCAGAAATGGAATCAATTTTCCATCCTTCGGAAAGGTTAAACATTTCTACTCGGTAGCATCTAATCTTTGAACACCTCTTTAGGATGGAAACTATAAAAGAGGAACAAGAATATAAAGGGAGAAAAACAGAGAGAGAGAGAGAAAGAGAGAGAAGGGATCTTAGCAGAAAAACGATACCATACGTGAATTGTAATTCAAGTAGATAAAAGGCTACGAGAAGTAGGTATACCTAACATAGTTTCTCACCTGGGAGCCATCCTCCCTGCATGATCGCATATTAAGCATCCGTAGGTACCGAGAAAGCGAGGGAGATCGAGAGAAAGAGTGAGAGACAAATAGACAAAGAGAAAGAGAGAGAACGAGAGAGAGAGAGAGAGAGAGAAGATTTAACAAGAGAACGGGAGATTACAAGAAAGAGAGAAAGCGAATGCTAGGCAAGGTGGTTCCTCGCGAGCGAGTGAACGAGCGACCGACTAAAAGTTAAATTGCGTTCTACGACTGCAAGGGAGTTCGGATTTCCGCTCGTGACTGAGTATTCCCAAAGATATCCTGGTGGCACGACTCCACTCGCTTCCGCAGCATTGACGATGAAATATGATTTAATTCTTCCACTTCGCACTTCGCGAAGATTCTCCTCACAAACGTGAAACTATTCTGCGCGAACAATTCTCTTTTTCTCTCTTTCTCTTTCTCTTTCTCTTTCTCTTTCTCTTTCTCTTTCTCTTTCTCTTTCTCTTTCTCTTGGTCTCGTCGTTTGACAACGAGCATTGCTTTCAACTCCCAAACGATAACCTAGGAAAGCGATTTTCTCCTATCGTTTCTCAGATTCTGTCATCGTCAACATTTAGAAATAGGAAGGAAGGAAGTATTATTTATCAGGATCTTACTCCATCAGACTTATTCAACGATCATTTTGCAGATATGCTAAAGAGAAGTAAATCATCAATCGTAAATCGACCATGTTCCACATATTCTGCTATGTTAGTGCGTGCGCTCGCACTTTGATAGTTTCATTTTATTCTTTCGTTTTCTTAAAGCTAATAATATTCATATCAGAGAATCGTATTAGTGTATAATAGAAAGAAATATAATTAATTAGATAGAATTTAATTAAGGGAACACTTTGAGAACAACTTGAATTCTTTCTTTCTCTCTCTCTCTCTCTCTCTCTCTCTCTCTCTCTCTCTCATTAGATAAAAAATCGTGAGTCTGATCTTAAAGGATCCAATTATTAAATATAATTCGTTTTTAAATGAGATTATCTTGTTTTCGTATTATCATTAATTATATACACTAATTTAAACAAGAACTTAAGAATAAAGAATTATTCTGGAATAATCGATTATAATTAAAAACGAAATGTTTAACGTTGCGAAAACGTGCGAATTAAACTTTAGCGTAAGATCAAAAACCATGTTCGAACCAAATGTGACGAATTGCGTTTAAGAAATATATTCCTCTAGAAAGGGGTTGAGATTAAGAGAAAACGATAAGGGTAGGACATTTATTCTTCGTTCTTCTACTTGTTCCGTGGGATTATACTTGGCCCTATTCCGTGGCTGTTCGACAAGTTCGACGGGCTTAGCAATGTAGAGTCACCGCATTTGGCACGTTCACTCAAGTGTCCTAAACTTTCACCGTCTTATTGGCAAGATATTTTAGTCAAGCCTTTGAAAAATCTTTCAAAAAATACAAAGAAAAAAAGAAACACATAGACATAAACATAGAAGGATAGTAGGGTTAAAATAATCCTGTTGGATTTGGCCTAAACGTGGCAGCCAAAATGCGTACTTTTATTTGCCCCTTCCATTCTTCTATCTTATTCTCTTTCCTTATGTCTTCTTTTTCTCTTTCAGTCTTAAGAAATAGAATATTGATACCAATGACTTTTCTTTCTTTCTCTTTTTCTTTTTTTTTCTTTTTCTTTTTTTTTTCTTTATTTTCAAAGAACCTTCTCCCTTACTCTTTTCTCTCTCAAGCGGAGCATGAGCACTTTTAGATTACAAGTGAGAAAACGACACTGGGTAAGGCGCGAATCGGAAAGAGTGAAATACCATAGAACTTTTCGTCCATCGAATAGAATCAAATGGATTTCGAATAGAATCGGATATAGATCGTCGAGAGTTTCGGGTTCTTTCCACGAAGAGTATGATACTTTAAATAGTTCAATGTAATCATTTCAGTGGTTCCAAATCATATTTACGTTTCTATAATAGAAAATTATTGCATATCGATAGATTTTAATATTTAATATATAAAAGAAAAATATTTAATAAAAAAATTAAAAAAAAATTGTTCTTGAAATATATATTAAAACTCTTTTATGGATCTCTATTCTTATTTTCACAGTTAGCCCGCATTTATCATTTCTAACGCGTTGCGTTATCTTCGGAACAATGACCTTTGTTATTATCGTTGTACGTGGAAAACATGAAAGTGTCACATACCTGGCATTTTTTATTTACGTAGATGTCACCCACTACATTTTTCTCTAGTCTCTCACTCTTTCCACTCTCTATAACCATCCTTGGGGGATATACGAATACGCGACGTTACACGAAGTTCCATTAAAAAGTAATATGTGAATCCTGGTGCAGATAGGAAGAAAAAAAAAGAAAAAGAAAAAAAGAAAAGAAGATAAATTAAAGAAAAAGAGGGAGACACAGAGAGAAAGAAAGAGAGAGAAAGAGAAATGCTGACGGATAAACGAAGAAATATGTTTGACGCTATCATCACAGTTTGTTTCAATACTTCGCGAACATATACCGATCGTGGTTTATTTGTATAGTATGTACGAATCATGCTCGCATTAACGTTTCATTGGAGATTCCATGAATAACTTTAGGTAGGCGATCATATGTCTGTATATACGAATATATGCAGTATATATATATATATATATGTCCGCGTATGTTTTGCGTACGCAAAGACAGAGAGACAGAGAGAGAGAGTGGAAGAGAAGGACAGAAGGAGAGAGAGAAGGAGAGTAATCATTGCGGTCAGGCAACTGATTTATCGTGTGCAAATTAATGGCTCATTAGTTTGTCCTTCAGCACTAATGAGTCAATCAGCTCTCAGAAATGGATAACCCTTAAGTGTAGCTTATGTGCCAAACACGATCGTTTACAAGACTTGATACTTGTGCCAAATGAAATGATACGTAAACTAAACTAATGTAAGACACGATAATGATGATAATTAGAGAAAATCTTACTATTTAGATTTCTGTCAGAAATAGTTAAAACGAAGCAAGAAATTCATTCATCAGCATGTAAATATCTTTTTTTTCTCTTGATATGTAGTAATAATAATAATTATTATTATTATTATTATATATTTAATTTATATAACAATTTATATTTATTATTATTATTATATAATTTATTATATAAGTTATTATTATTATATTATTATCTGTATTAGCAATTATTATCTATAATTTAAACAAAAGATTTTCTACGTTTTACAATGAAATCTATATTTTATTTTAAACGGAAACTAGGTTATATTTTTATTTAAATTAGATTTTAATAAACGAATACATCGATAATGTTTGCGCATTTTCAGAATATAGCTCATATCAGATGCGTTTCAAAAGATTCGTATTCGATTCAAGAAAGGATTCATCGCGTAAAACTTTCGTTTAAAATTTCACACGTTTAGAAAATCCGTATGCTGATCGTTATGAACGAACGAATGAACAATAAATATGGGTAAGGAAAAGGAAAACAGGATAAAAATAAGAGAAAAAAGACGAAAAATAAGAAAAATGTTTGCTACGAAGAAAAAGGAGAGAAACGCGAATAGGATCTTCGCATAACAGTCTCTGGCACGTACGATAAGCGAATAGGAGGATGTCGTACAATAAATATTTTTCTGTGTCGCCACGAGAAAGAAGACGGCTTAGGAGAACAGAGGGGGGGGTGGCCTCATGACAAGGGGTGGAATCTACTAGAGAAAATGTACGAATACGCGAGGTTGCCTTTAAATATAAACTTTCTTGTCGTAGTAAAGATTAAACTGACTTTACAAGAGTTGATGCGAGTCTTGGTTATGTGTTTCACTCCCTACAACCACCACTCCGCCACCACCCCCAGCTACCCCTTCCTTATTTTCTTTTCTCTTAAAATTCACCCTTTTTATTCTTGAGAACGTCATTTTATATAATATGTGATGTAATCGTGGCACATTATTTAAAATGTATATCTAACTAAAATACGGATTAATTTAATAAAAGATCAAGTAACATTATATAAGATAGTTTAAATACTCAAATATCTATAAATAATACTGTAGTAACGTAAATCGAATATGTTTTATAAATCTTACTATGTTAAATTATACATTTTCTATAGAGTTCATTTAAAAAACCCTAATCTTCATTATTTTTGAAAAAAAAAAAGAAATTTAACTGCACACACGATGTCATCGACATTCTTGTCGTTCTTATGTTTTTCCTTTTCTCTCTCTTTCTCTCTCTCTATCTCGATGTCTCTGTTTCTTTCTCTTTCAATGTCGATGCGAAAGACATAGATCCGTGAACGGGATAACCCAAAGCGATGAGAATTTCTCTCCTTTTTTCTCTTGGAGTTTTTTTCAATAAAACGAGGGGCAAAGTTAGGACGTCGAACGTGCATGTCGAAACGAGAGAACTTTCCCATTATCATTGAATCGATGAAAGAAAATGTTAGAGAAAAGGAAGGAAAGAAAGAGATGAAGTTAGGCGATCTCGAAGAAGAAACTATCGACGTGATCCGAATGAAAATTGTTCGAATAGTTCCTACATAATACAATTTCATCTATCGGATTTTTAGCTTTATTCTGTGAAGCATAAATGCAAAAGACGAGATTTTCTAACCGAGGCGTTATAATAAAATGATTTACTTATTACGCTGAGATGAATGATACGTCGTTCGTACTACATGTACGTGATTTACCTGTAAATCGGTTCACTTCCATTTTCCTTGAACCAGAGCACCATGTTTATGTCGTCGTTGTTCGGGGCATGTATATCGCACGGTAAAAGCGCTTTATTCCCCACCACACCTTCTATCGTAGTAATTGGCACTGAAATTAAACGAAAAAAGAAACGATGTAATAGATCTTTCTTCTTATCATATTCTTTTTTTGTAATTTTTTTAATAAATTAACAGAAATTAGAGTAATATTAAGTAGTTGTCTGTTGAAACACACCCCACCTACCTCCCAACAAGGAAACTTATATGAATTGATTTCCATTATTGTGGGGTGCAGAAAAATAAAAACAGACAGCTGGACACAGATACAGATATATATAATAATAATAATTTATTTAATATGTTAATTAATATGTAATATGTCGAGCGGAATTATGAAAACTGATACAGAATACAGAAGAATGACAAGGACAGACTTTCTTAATTACTTACTTTCACATACAGGCGGTCCTCGACTTTCGCGATTTCTACTTTCGCACATTTTTAAAAATTCAACTGTTTCATCTTCTGCGACCGGATGTCCCCTTTCAGAACCATCAGGTGACATTTTTCGGATAAAGAGAACAAAACAGTTTCAGTCTTGCATTAGGGCGTGCATCAACGAGTTGTATGTTTTGCTAATTTAGATAAATACTTTAAAACACAGTTTTTAGTGCATATTTTTTTACATCCCACTATTTTCGAACATTCAACATTCGCACACACTTTCAGGAACCAATTATGTGCGAAAGTCGAGGGACTACTGTATGCATACCAAAAATGAGCTACACTCTTTTTGGAGAAGGAAAGAAAATATATGAATCTTATTGGCCTCCAATATCACTGGAGGAGGGGGCTTTCAATACAAATCGGAAAGATCGTAGGGTTTTGTTTAATTAAGATCAAGATCGGATTTCAACAGGAAATTAAATAGATGTAAAAAGATAGACAATAAAAGAAAAGAAAAGGAAATCAAATATAAGACTTATCGTCTACAAAGGAAAGGAAATCAAAATATATAACACTATAAGACTTATTGTCTACATTACAATACAAATATAGTTTGTTACCATATAGAATAACGTTGGAGTGAACCCGTGAGGGAAGTTTTATTGAACTATGAATTTTATAAGAATTTAATTATAGTTGTATATATCATTTCCAAAAATTGAGATTTCCTATTTTCATTAAACAAAATTGAAAAATTATCGATATATTTATTACTATATTTCATTTTCATTAACCCTTTCGCCATTACGGGCGACTATAGTCGCTCTCTATAAAATACTACTGACGTACTACGAGCGACTGAAGTCGCTTTACATAAAATGCCCCTCACATACTACGGGCGGCTATAGTCGCTATGCATAAAATGCCGCTCATTGTACATTGTATAATACATATGACGAACGATTAGAGTTACTTCAAATCAAGTTTAATAAAAAGTTAATATGTTTAAATGTTATAAATATTTTAATTTGTGGAGTCTTTTTTCAATAAACACCGTCAAACCAACTCGGGTTGCCTTGAAGCATAAGCGCGGGCGCTGTCGATTTTACTCGAGCACCGTGCACATTTTTGGCGCGGCGGCACGTTCAGCAGAAATACCACGGCGGAGAAGTCGCCTGTAGCGAAGTGGTTAAAAACTCAAAATGTATGGGTTTAATTATTTCCTTATACAAAAATTTAACGATCATCTCGAGTATCAGAAAATTTATCATTGATTTAAAATAAAATTAAACTGTACAATTGTTATTTTGTTTCTCTTTTTTATTAAAAATTAATTAAAAAGTTAAATGTTGAATTTGTTTCTAGGTTCTAAATACTCTGTTCAAATATTTACCCTGCGACTGATAAATAAAACATTTTTTATTTGACTTTTATCCACTGAGACCGTGATAAAAAAAAGGTTCGTTATCACTGCTGTAAATGACTATACTATAACGAATGCAAAAGTGTAAAGTACGTTTGCATTCGTAATATATGTTTGCTAGTCATTTAGTTAGAAAGTTGTTTTTTTGAGAAAGGGACAACTATTATTAAGTGTAGTAATTAATGCGGATCTTTGATATTTAACTCATTACGCTAAAATTGCCATATCTATTTCGTCAAGGAATTCAGCAGTTGTCTGAATAATGAATAAAGTTATCGAAAAAATAATGGACACTTTTTCGAAGAATAACAGATCTATGATTACTTAATAAATAAATATTAAATTTATTATTAAATGGCATCGAATTAATTGCTATTCCTAATAAATAAATCTTATAACACTTTATAACATTATTATTATTATTATTATTATTATTATTATTATTATTATTATTATTATTAACTGGCATTAGGAACTCGAAAGTTCATTGCCGCAAATACCAAATCCCACCATTGTTCCCGTCTCTGAGCGCGATCCTTCCATTCGCGGTCTTCGTATCCTATTTCTTTCAGGTCCCTTCTAATGTTATCCTCGCATCTACGTCTCGGTCTACCTAGTGGTCTTTTCCCGTTTGGTATACCGACCAATATTTTGTGCGCCGTTCGATCCTCCCCCATGCGCGCCACGTAACCAGCCCATCTTAATCGGCGTGATTTTACGACGTTTATAATGACCGGTTTGTTATACAATCGATGTACTTCAACGTGGAATGAAGTTTTTTTTATTCGCCCGTTTTCTCATCGCGTTTTGCACCGAAGATTTTACGAAGAACTTTATTTTCGAAAACTCTGAATTTCTTTTCGTCCTGTAACGTAAGGGACCACGACTTGCTACCATAAAGAACTACCGACAGGATGATTGTCCTGTATATCCTGATTTTTAATCGCCTAGACAGTAATAGCGAGCTGAGTAATTTGTTAACCGAATGAAAACATGAGTTGCCTAGATTGATTCTTTTTTTAAGTTCTTCGTTAATTTCGTTCGTCTGATTTATGATTGATCCTAAATACCTAAAGTTTCTGACCCGCTCAAAAGTTTTATCCCGGACGACCAAAGTTCCAGTACTAGGCCTATTCTGAACTCTATCGGTTACCATATATTCGGATTTTTCCGCGCTTATTTGCAGTCCCAGATCTTTAGTATTATCTATTAATATTTTTTTAACTGTAGACCATATTTACTTTTCTGCAGCTCTTAATCTTATAACACATAAAAATAATAACGATGCAAACAAGTTGAAAAGTGAAATTTGAGATAAGTGAATGGACAAGAAAGAAAGTCCCTTAAATCTATGAGTTTGACGACGATTAAATGGATGTCTGATGTCGCAATCGTAGGGCGCATCGTTACTCAATTATATTTACATGTTGATAGAATTATCATGTTTTAACAAGTTTCTCACAAGAACCCCTTTACATCCTCCTTACATCTTATGATTCTAATGAAACTAGTATCTAAGCCTAATTTAACTGTTAAGTATTACAGAGTAGGTACTATTGCATAACACAGTTTTCTTCTTTCGAAACTGTTAAATTATTCAACAAGATAATTTGAATCTGAATGAAAAGATTAAAATTATGAGAAATATAGAAGAATAGAAAACAAATAAAACGAGTATAATTATAATCAATATTCCTTTTATTTCTATTATTAATTCAACGGAATAATTTAAATACGAAAGAAAGGGTGAAAATAATGAGAAAAAAAAACAAGAGCATACGTGGTTAATACTTATACTACTTTTCCTTTCATTTTGTTGACGACGTTGATGGTGAAGGAAAAAGTACAGAAAAGAAGGAATACATTAGCGTGGAAAAGTCTCTCAGAGACCGGATAGTTAAGCTCTTCCATCTTCCTTTTTCCTCACCTTTCTCACTCATCCTCATTCTTCTATAGTTTATTGCACCCTGCTCGGAAAACTTGCGACGAGGTTGACCTTAATGGTGTGTTCACCTGTCGCGTGAAGCAACACGAGGAGACACATAACGTCGCTCTCGTCGAATAAACGAACGGACGAATGGACGAACGAAGGAAGGAACGAACGAACGAACGAATGAACACGATAGCTAAACGCACGCACCATGCGTCCAGTTTTACGCTCCACTCGATCCAATCGATCGTTGAAACGATCCTATCTCTGCGTGTGCAAACATTGAATAATTGCAACACAACCGTTCATAGATTTTTTTTTCATTTCACTGAGAAAAATGGGGTTTCTTCGAAGTTACGAATTATATTATATTATTCATATATATAAATATATAATATATTATATAATATATTAACGATACTTGAATCAATAATAACAATAAATTAGAATTTTACAATAAATTGTTAATCAAAAGTAATTAGAATGTTATCGGTTTTAGTTTAAAAAGATATGGAATCGTTCCAGAGTTCAAAATTAGAATTCGTCGTATAACGGCAAGATGGTTTCTTCTCCTTCTTTTTGTCCACGTCGTTGACGTTTCGAAAGCAGGATGTAATCGTGTATGGCGATTTGTTCATAAACGCCCACGTCGTTCCAGGAAGTTGAAGATAAGTAAAAATGAAAGATATGTACAAGGTGGCATCATAAGAAATCCCATAAATAACTTTTCTACGTGGAAAACGAATCCATCAGCTTGTGGAACGTAGTAAGTTCGAACGTTCGATTAGTGGAAACATCAAAACGTGCGTATGAGCTCGCAGCTTCTCTCCCTTTTTTGTATTTTCTTTTTCTACTGTTTTTTTTATTTTTTTCTTCTTTTTTTCCCTTTGCTCGTACCATTCAGTTCCGTCTTCCCTCCTGGCCATAAATAAGTAATCATTCGGTTTCCACGAATCTCATAAACTATCGTTCCTGGGGCCCCGCATACTCTTTCTCGGTATACCAAAAGTTTATTATTCTTTTTTATACCTACAACTGAAAGTCAATCCTATTTATCTTTTTTATTTTTTTCATTCGTTCGTTCGTTCATTCATTCGTACGTTCTCCCTTACTCTTTGGCAACGTCGGAGAACGAACGAGCTACAAGGTTATTCCATCGAAGGTACTAGCAGCTTCCGATAAATCGGCAGACGCCTTTTCTTGACTCCGCCCGTTTATCTCCGTTCAAAGATAAATGTGAATGTGGTCCGAATCAAACATGAATGCTTTCGAAATTAGACGTTGATGTTCGTTTGTGTTTAAACCAAGC